CTGCCGTGCAACTGGACACTGACGTAACTAACCTTCTCGGCAGCTCTCAAGGGTTCAGACGATCCACGAGAAGAACTTGATCTACCGTGACATCAAGCCCGACAACTTCATTATCGGCAGGCCGGGCACGAAGGCCGCAAATGTCATCCATGTTATCGACTTCGGCATGGCCAAGCAGTACCGCGACCCGAAGACGAAGCAGCACATTCCTTACCGCGAACGCAAGTCACTCTCCGGTACAGCTCGTTACATGAGCATCAACACCCATCTTGGCAGGGAACAGTCTCGCCGTGATGACTTGGAGGCGCTCGGTCACGTTTTCATGTACTTCCTCCGCGGTGGTCTGCCCTGGCAGGGCCTGAAGGCTGCTACCAACAAGCAAAAGTACGAGAAGATTGGCGAGAAGAAGCAGACGACCCAAATTCGCGATTTGTGCGAAGGCTTCCCCGACGAACTGAACAAGTACCTCACATACGTACGAAACCTTGGCTTCGAGGACACCCCTGATTACGACTACCTGCGAGAGCTCTTCACGCAAGCCCTCAAGAATACGGGTGAGGTCGAGGATGGCGAATATGACTGGATGAAGATTTCCAAGGATTCGGGGAAAGGTTGGGACGGGTCGAAGGGGCACAACAACGCGTACCTGCACAACCCCAACGCTCGACCCGGGCCGTCCCAGATGGAACTCCACAGCGGTCAGCGCGGCGGCGCGAGCGCAGCCCACGCGCAAGCGCAGAACCTGACGGTCAGCCGTTTAAACGCCGCGCAACCCCCTCCGTCGCCGATCAAACAAATGAACAAATGAACAAAGGTCGGCCAAACGCGCCCGGCGCCTTGGGCGCCCAGCGGAGCAGCGGAGTCGGGGGTCTCCGGGACATGGCGACGCCGGCCGGATCCACACAGGCGCAGTTCCAGAACAGCAACCGCAACCTGCCTCAGACTGCTCCTCAGCAGGGTCCTGCCCAGCCGGCTCAGCCTAGTGGACGGTCTCCTGAGCCCCAACCTTCCGGCATGCAGAAGTTCATGAAGGTCCTTTGCTGCGGTGCGTAACCCAACATGCTGACCCAAGTGTAGCACAGGCTAATTCCCTCACAGGTTAGTGTCCCGGATTTACTTGGTGTTGTCTTGGCCATACCAGGAACGGGACCAGCTAGCTCCTTTCAAGCGATTATATACACAGGCGGATTCTTCTTGATCCAGCTTCTGCACGTCGATTTGCGTTGTGTATTTCTCTGGTCATGAGCGGCCGTGGACTACCGCGAGAGCCACCCTGACTGCCATGCCACTGGATCTCATCCAAGGCCTCTGCACCGCGCCTCGCTGGACACTTCTTCCCGTTCTGATCACGCCATTAGAGCTGAACATCCGCACCATGTCAACGACGGCACGACTTTTATCTTTTCTTTCTTCTTCTTCGGGCATTCTCCTTATCTTGGCGTAGCGGGGTTCATTCATCCTTTTCTCACAAGAGGAGAGACTGCGCTACATCACTGGCATGCAAAAAACTCGACTTCGGGACCCGGACCTTATTTCTTTGAGGGCCTGAATGTTTCAGCCGAAACAAAAAAACATTACTACATCCTGTTAATGCACAGCGCGCAGTACGGCGCATGGCGGGGCGAAGCCGGTCGGTGGGGCTCCATGGCATTGGGCTGATTCTGCAATACGTTCGTGTACTGTTCATAATAACACCAGCCGTGTAGTGCGAGGACGACGACAGTTGATTTCGTGCCTTGCCCAGGGATCTTGGGCAAGATGCAGAGGGAGCAGACATCAGAGGACGACACGCTTCTGGGGAAGCTGATGGACAGATGGGCTGTGGAGGTCGAGCAGGCGGGCTGTTAGTGTTGGGTTGATAGACGTGAGAATATAAGGAAATGACTTCATATATGGGGCTCTGCTGAACGTCCCGTCTCAACCGGGCTCACCGGTGGACGCTAGCTTTTGGCATCTGGTAGATCCCCGCATGTCCAAGCAGGCTTTTTTTGAGGCTGAATCCTTGGCAATCGTGGCGAACAAGTTTGAAAGCGTGTCTCATTCATTACAGAACCCCTACTGTCTGCTCTCCTGTCATGCCTAGGGGGCAACTCCCTCATGCAGTACGTCTTTTGCATCATAAGCTAGGTAGATGTCCTCGAGATGCATCAATGCACGACGCCATCTTCTTCCAAAGACGGCGGAATACCTCCAGAACTCCCACGCCTTTTGCACAACACAAAGATGTCGAGTCCCTTCTCCTGTCTCTTGTGTTGTCCCTCGCTCCTCCCACGCGTGCGCAGCGCTCTCACGTGAGCTTCTGCTTGATGAAGAAGGACCGGAGATGTGACAGCTGCCACGCGCAGGTGCCGGCGAGGACGGTCAGCTGGATGATCATCCAGCGGACGACACGGGAGTTGGTGGCTTCGGACTGGTCGCGGAATTCGGCCTCGCGTTCCTAGAGTAAGCATTAGCTGCGCTCCTTCCGTCATGCTTCTTTTTCTTCTTCTTCTCCTTTCTCTTTCTTCCGACTTCTCGGATCACTGTGCACCGCGCGATAAACGTACTCTTTGGAAGACCTGCTCGCGACGGATGTCCTGCAGCCTGGCGTTGAGGTCCTTGATGCGGGTGGCGACGTCCTGCAGCTTATCCTTGTCGGCCGACTCGATTCGGGAGGTCTCGCCGATGGCGAGGTCGAGCGTCAGGCGGATGCCGCCGTTGTGTGAGGACTGGCTCAACCAGCCGGAGCGGCCCGATGTTGACGAGGGGGTGAAACAGAGCTGGTGGTCGCCGGCATCGGCAGCGGAGAAGGTGAACTTGCCCGCGGCGGCACCGCGCTGGGAGACGACGCGGTGGTCATTGTCGAAGAGCTCCTGTTTATCAGTCGACATGGTTAGCTGCTGTGAAAAGGAAGGCCAGAGATGATCGGCTGCTGGGAGAAAGGAGGCAGCGCCAATGTCGAGGGGACACGGGACAAGGAAAGCACGGGGTAGGGCGGGTGTTATGGTGGTGGCACATACGTCGACGGTGATGTAGATGCTGATGCCGTCGTGCTTGGCCCAGTTGTTGATCCTGTCGTCCCACTCTTCGGCGGTGTAGTGGCCAACGACGAGTGTGTCCTTGGGGAGCTCCTCAAAGAAACACTTCGGGGTCGTTCCGTCGATGTAGAAGTAGAGGGCCTGCGCAACGGCGCTCATCGACAGGAGAGGGAGGAAGGACCTCATGATGGCGGGGAGGAGGGGGGAGAGAGGAGGATGGACGTCGTGGTGAGACTCGAGACCAGCAGGTGAGAAGCTCCAGCTGTGGGGAGGCGTGCCGGGCAATGGGCGTGGTCGAGGGTTGCAGATGCTGAGGTCGTGGGAGGGTAGCTGTCGAGATGTGATCGGCTGGCTCCTGGGAACCCCAGGATCAATTCGCCAGGCCCTGGGGAAGCTGCCACGTTCGAAAAATGTCCAGTCTGGCGACCGTCAGGGGTGTCATGTGACCTTAGTCATCAACCGGCTGAAGTCCACTTCACTGCAGCTGGCACCCGCCGGCACAACTACGGCCAGAGTGGGAAGCTTTAAGCCAGTGTGGGGTTTGAATGCTGCAGTTGTCAACCAGTCACTGAGGTACTTTGTACATGTAGGTGGGCAAGGCACGCAAGCAGGGCTGGGCGAACCGTAGGACTGGCGCGCCTTGACAGACGGGCAGTCTGACGAAACTGGGTAGTCAGCAGTCACTGCCACTATGGTCAAAGACGGATCCTCTGAAGCCTCCTCGGCGTGCGCCCCCCCCCAGTAGAGTGACGTGCCACTGCCATTGTCATTGCCCATTGCCTTGTGCTCTCCGCATTTTGGATTGGACCAAGTGCCCTCGGTCGCCCGCCCACCTGCAACCCACCCCAAGAACTTCAACAGGCCTTGCTGCACAACCAAGAAGCCACAACATCTCACCACACTAATGGCTCCTCATGCCTGAGTACTGTCGTCGCTGTCAGATTCGACACTCCTGCAAGAATTTGCTGCAATTTTTGATTTGCAACAACCTGGAATAGGTATCGAGCGGAGGTGATCGAAACCTACCCTACCTGTCTAGCCCACCTACCTTGCCTACCTACCTACCTTGCCTTTATTAGCGGGACCTTGCCCACCTAGGCTTCCCTACGACACGACCCAAACCCAGGTCTGCATTCGTACCAATTAGCAGATACACGAACCACCATCTTGCCGTTGGTAGACCATTACGTAGGTTACTCAAACCTGGATCGCCTTTTTCTTATGCAGCTCTTCTGACCAGTAGCCGACACCGCTACAGTTCCCCGCGAGTCCCGACAGTGCAGGGCTGGTCGGTCTTTCGCGTCCCACCTGGCGTCCAGAGTCGTCGACATTTGACCTCCAGGCATTCTCAGTCGACAAAACTCAGCTCCCGCCGGCTCCCCCTTCTCCCGCGAACGAGGCCAGGGACCTTCATCATGGTAAGATGACAGCAGTGCAAATCACGGCCGTTCAAGAGCCAGCATCCCCTTAGCCTGCCGAGCTGCTTCTGTTCTTGTCCTCGGCCTCCAATCGTCGCCTCCGCCACACAAGCCTGCCCCGCCGTCATCACCAGTCAACGTTACGAACGCCGTACATTCTGTTTGGGCACACAGCTAACGCAAACACGGAACAGAGCTACAACAACGACATTACATCCCCCAGCGAGATGGTGATGGACACAGACGACTATGTCGGTATTCCGAACGAATCCGAGAAAGAGCCTGTCGCCATCATCAACCCAGACAACGACAATGACATCGACAACTTGCAAGACCTGCCTCTGGCAACCGACCGTAAGCCAAGCTGGTGCCTCCTCGTCGCGCTTTGTATACGCTAACATGCTATGCGACCCAGATGAGGCCATGAAGGAGCTGATCCTGCCACCATTAGCCGAAGAACCCCGCATCTTAGAAGATGTCGTGAACACATGGTCGATCCCCTCCTGGAGGGGGCTGCCAAAGCGCGAGCATGGTCCCATCTTCCATGCCGGCGGCTACCCTTGGTACGTCGTTGCGCCAGCCCCGCCGTGCTGAATGCGGTGGACTAATCGTGTGTCACAGGCGGATTCTGCTCTTCCCCTTTGGCAATAATGTCGACCAGTGCTCCATCTACCTCGAACATGGCTTCGAACCGAATGAAGTTCCAGAGAACTGGAGCTGCTGCGTGCAGTTTGCTCTAGTCCTGTCGAACCCAAACGATCCCAGTCTCTACACGCACCACGTTGCTCATCATCGCTTCACTAAAGAAGAGGCTGACTGGGGATTCACGAGGTTCTACGAGCTGCGCAAAATGTTCAATGTGCCGTACGAGAACGGAAGCCGACCACTATGCGAGAACGACACCGCCAACATCACCGCATATCTTCGTGTCGTTGAGGACGAGACGGGCGTGCTATGGCATACCTTTCTCAACTACGATTCAAAGAAGGAAACGGGCTATGTTGGCTTGAAGAATCAGGGAGCCACCTGTTATCTCAACTCGCTTCTCCAGTCCCTCTACTTCACAAACGCTTTCCGCACCGTGAGGCTCAACGAAATTGCTTCCTTGTCGCACCGTGCCTAACGCGATCAACAGGCCATTTACGGAATTCCTACACAGCAGGAAGATAGCTTGAGCAACAGTGCTATACACAATTCAGCGTCTGTTCTATCAGCTCCAGACGTCAGGAACGGCAGTAGGCACGAATGAGCTTACCAAGTCTTTTGGGTGGGAAACGAGACACATCTTTGAACAGCAGGATGTTCAAGAACTGTCGCGCAAGCTCATGGAACGCATGGAAGAGAAGATGAAGGGCACGCCAGCTGAAAAGGTGCTGCCTGACATGTTCAGTGGCAAAATCAAGACGTACATCTCTTGTGTCAACGTCGACTACGAATCCAGCCGTATCGAAGATTTCTGGGATATTCAGCTCAACGTGAGCGGCAACAAGAACCTCATCGAGAGTTTCCAGGACTACATCCAAGTCGAGAAGATGGATGGCGAGAACCAGTACTATGCGGGCGACGAGTTCAAGCTCCAGGACGCCAACAAGGGCGTCATTTTCACCAGCTTTCCTGATGTGCTGCACTTGCAGCTGAAAAGATTCGAGTACGACATTCAACGAGACATGATGATGAAGATCAACGATCGATACGAGTTCCCAGAGGAGTTTGACGCCGCCCCTTTCCTGATTGAGGGCGCCGACAAATCCGAGCCTTGGACTTACCAACTGCACGGCGTGCTAGTGCACAGCGGTGACCTCAACGCTGGACATTATTACGCCTTCCTGAAGCCCGAGAAGGATGGGTGGTTTTACAAGTATGATGACGACAAGGTTACGAAAGCGACGATGCGCGAGGTCCTTGAGGAAAACTTTGGTGGCGAGTATCGACTCCCCAATGGCTCTTTGCTGCGAGCACCGCTTCAAAAGAAGGCGCCGATCATGCGTCAAAATAGTGCGTACATGCTGGTGTACATTCGCCAAACACGCCTCGATAAGATTCTGCGCCCCGTCACCTCGGACGACATTCCTACTCATCTGAAATCGAGAATTGAAGAAGAGACTGCCTTGCGGGAAGCCAGGAAGAAGGAGCGTATGGAGGAGCATCTCTATATCGGTGTTAAGGTCATCACAAACGAAACTTTCAAGCAGCACGGCGGCACAGATCTAACCAACTTTGACCCTGAAGTGGAGGATGCTTCGACGCCCAAGTTCTACCGGGTTCTTCGTACGATGACTATGGAGGAGCTCACGACCACCATCGCTGAAGACATGCAGCAGGACCCTCGCAACATCCGCTGCTGGGTCATGGTCAACCGCCAAAACAAGACAATCCGTCCGGATCAACCGATCATGGACCTCAACCCTACGGTGGAGGAGGTATTCCAGCGAGCACAGGCGCACCGGGACCAGGCTCTCCGACTCTGGGCTGAAGTCGCGGAAGAAACGGCTTCCGACGGCAAGGCTATTTGGCCCACCCATGAACCCCAACAAAATGGCATTGTCGTCAAGAATGACTTGATCTTGCTATTCCTCAAGTACTTCGATATCGAGTCGCAGACCCTTCGTGGCGTTGGTCATGTGTACATCAGCAAGGAGAAGAAGGTGGAGGAGCTCGTGCCTTTGATCTTGAAGAAAATGGGATGGGGTGAAAAGTTGCCGTCTGACGAGAAAATCTCTCTATACGAGGTCTGTACACGGACACGGATTCTTGCTTTTTTTTTCTCAAGATGCTAATATTGTTGCCAGGAAATCAAACCTACCATGATCGAAAGTTTGAAGCCGAAGCAGTCGCTGAAGCGGCTGAGTTGCAAGACGGCGATGTTCTGTGTTCCAGCGGAGCAGCGGAGCGCAAGAGCGAAAGAAACATTCTCGAGAAGCGTCTGCACCTCAATGAGAAGCAGGTGTCTGAAGAAGCGTGAGTGACAGAAGGATTCCATGGAAGGCCACAAATTAACAGTGCGGCAGCACGCGAAAGTCTGATCGCGTCGAGGATGCTCGGGAATACTACGACTTCTTGCACCACAAGAAAACTGTCAAGTTCCACGCGCATCCCACGAAATGTGACGCGGCACAGTTCCCGCCTTTCGAGCTGGTTCTTAACTCGAAGATCAGCTACGATGTGTTGACGGAACGAGTTGCGGCGCAGTTGGAGTGGGAGCCAACACATCTCCGACTATGGACAGTCAACGTGTCTACAGGCAACCCCAAGAGCGCCGTGAAGCGTGGCAACAACCAGACGCTTCAGTCCATCTTGAATCCCACCGGATTCGGCAACCTGAATGCCAGCCAAAGGACGGATGCATTCTATTTCGAAGTCCTGGACATCAGTCTTGCGGAGCTAGACACCAAGAAGAACATTAAGATCACGTGGCTCACAGAGGGCATTACGAAAGAGGCAAGTTGCATGTGTGGCGTCGGAGTCTAGGCGGCACTAACAAGCCAGCAGGACCACCTGGATCTCTTGGTCGCCAAGAATGGCATCATTGAGGACCTCATCCAGGCGCTCATTAAGAGGGCAGATCTGACTGACGAAGCCGAGAGCGGTCGAATTCGGGTGTACGAGGCGAGCCAGCACAAGTTCTACCGGGAGCTCAAGCGGGACTACCCCGTCATCAGCCTCAACGACTACACCAACCTGTACGCGGAGCGTGTGCCGGACGATGAAGTCAACGTGGACGACACAAACACCATCTCCGTGTTTCACTTCCAGGGCGAACCTAACAGGGCCCATGGTGTGCCTTTCAAATTCTTGCTGATCGAGGTATGAGCGCTTGCACGTTGACAGTCGACGACTGGAGCCAGTAGCTGACGAGGATGCAGGGCGAGAAGTTTGCAGATACGAAGAAGAGGCTGGAGAAGCGCACGGGCTTGAAGGGCAAGAGCTTTGAGAAGATCAAGATTGCCCTGATCAGGAGGACGCACTTCTCTAAACCCCATTATCTGGAGGACGGTACGTCAGCAACATGTGTGCAAAGCCCCTTTTTTGCTCTCGGGCGCAGTGCTGATGAACGCATGACAGACGACGAGCTATGGTCCATTGCAAGTGGCGATGATGACTATCTAGGCCTCGATCACGTCGATCGGACAAGGGCTCTACGAAACGGCGTTGGAGACCTCTTCCTTCGGTAGCGGTAGACGGCCTGGACGTTTGAATGCGAAGGGAACGCGGAGGGACCAGCAACACCAGCTCTTGTTTCAGTACATGTTATCGCTTCCCGAGTCAGTCTAAAGGGTTTTCCTTATCGAGGGAGGCTTGTGGAACTATCGTCTGACTATCTTCATGTCCTTTTCTGGCGAAGTGAAACTGTACAGCGTACAAGCCGGGACGGAAGCTGTTGGCTGTGGCAGTATCATTTGACTCTGGGGGTTCAGGGCTTGCTCTCCAGGAAGGTGACTGCACACATGGCAGGGCGGAGCAACATGTCAGGTATAGGACACAACAGTCATAAGAAGATCACATGATTTTGATGCTGGTGTGTCGTCAAGCACCGAGTGAAGTGTGGAAGCTCTGATGGTCCGTCGACGAGGCAGACGAACGACATGATTGACTTGCTGAGGCTCGGTACAAAGCTATGCAAGGTGACCCGACCCACATGACGGGGCAGGGGGCCAACGGCCGGGGTCGCCGCCGCGAGAAATTTTGGGCGGTGAGTCGCGGCAGAATCGGTGAAGACGGGACTCCCAGGAGCTGGGCCGAGATTCGACTCGCTTCAACGCTGCACCACATGCCCGCCACGAACGCTTGACCCTTCCACGACCGAAACTGCCGCCAAGACCTGTCTTTGCCAACGTCCGAATCGCGAGCCCAGTGCATTCTTCAACATGAACTTCCCCGGAACAGGAGCCGGCGCCGGCGCGCAGCCCCCCGCCGGCGGCATCAGTGGAGACGACCCCAATGTCAAAGCCGTACGTCCGGCCACACGCGCCTGCAACGATCCACGAGAGGGAGCTGACATTGGTTGAATGCGCAGATGAACAACTTTATGGAGAACTGCTTCGCCAAGGGCGCCATGTCGGGCGTCATGGGATTCGGCATGGGTGGTCTCTTTGGCATGTTCATGGCCTCGGTACGTCGACCTCGCGTCCCTCCTTGCTTCATCACCATCGCCGCCTCTTGCGCGTGAGAAGCTCCATGACGAACCACTTCGAGAGCGAAGGACCAAGACGCTAACCCTTGATTCCCCCCCCCCCGAATAGATGTCCTACGACACACCCTTCCACACAGCGACCCCCGGCGGACCGCAGACCCCCGTCTCCTCGCTGCCGATGAAGCAGCAGCTGCGCGTCGGCCTCAAGGACATGGGCCAGCGCTCCTACAGCACGGCGCGCAGCTTCGGCAAGGTCGGCGCCCTCTTCGCCGGCATCGAGTGCGGCATCGAGGGACTCCGCGCGAAGAACGACCTCACCAACGGCGTCGCGGCCGGCTGCGTCACGGGCGGCATCCTCGCGCGCAACGCCGGCCCGCAGGCGGCGGCCGGTGGCTGCATCGCCTTCGCGGCGTTCAGCGCGGCGATCGATGCTTACATGCGGAGCCCGGGCGACGAGTAGGCGAGCGTG